TCTGTAAGTGAAAGGATAATGTTACATTTCCCAAGTGGTCTATTTAATAACTCTACCGCAGAACAATACGTCCTATTTAAAAGCCTGGCACTCATTGAAAGGACTATGAGACGCTATATCAGAATGTCTATTATCAAGTTACGTCAGGAAAAAAATCGTCAATTCCAGCATATGAAAAGCCTGAGGTTAAAGAAAACAGTATTCTTGACTCAGTAACGGCTGATCGGGCCTCAATTCCGAACTAGTTGAGTCTTAGTATCCATGGCTCAAAAGACACCTATTTCAGTACAGCGAGCGAATGTGTGGGATAGAGAAAGGTATGTGTTTCTAAAAAAGCTGCAGTGACTTCCAAGCTATTGCCGAGGACACTAATGAGATGCCGTGCCTCTCAGTGGATGAGCTCAGCATAATCCAACACTGTGAGAAACATGCTAACATGCGTTTAGCCGTTTAGATGACCGCTATTTGTTCACACAAGATGGCTGAAGTATATGAGGGATTTTTCTCTTACTGACGACTACCGTTCAAAAGACAATGTATTGAAGTTACTTTTGCGTTGCACGACGGCTGAGATCGACAACGGGAATCCATCTCAGGTTAAACATATGACCATGTCGGAGTTAGTCAGATTTCCAATGCCCCACGCTTCTTGTCCCGCATATTAGGCTATTTATAAAACCTCCACCAGTTCCCTCCCACAGTTCATGACCCTACACACTCGCTTCTTGTCACTTTATCTGAAGGTTCGGCATTGGAATTTCCTGATTTTACGAAAGAGCTAGAGTTTCATTCATACGATTCACTTCTCCATCTCCGACTTCTCTGTTATCAATCTGTCTTAGTTAGGGTCTTGCCCCACATTCACTCTATAGACTCTGTTACCACGTGGTACCTCACAGAATTAGGATCAGCCTCCGGTTTCAATCTTTATTATCTGAGACAAGGTAGGATGAGCCGCTTTAGCTATTATGTTCTTTTATAACATTGACAGCCAAAGACTAGCCAAAAGCAACCCCTCGTTACCTTAACTTACAGTTCGTTCCTTATACTCCTTGGATAAACGATGATTCGCCCAACCGATGACGGCAACCGCTATGAGTTGGCCAGCCCAACAGCTATGCCGAAAGCTGGTGGTTTTCTATGGAATCAGAAGATGATGGTTCAAATCACCTGCCGCGGCTATGCAGTCGCGCAATTCATGCAGCCAGAGCCGGCCAAATATTCATACGCGCCTAACTTGGAAGCCAAGACCTTCATGCAACCAGAGCAGAATTACTACGCACACCATCCCGGCCGTTTCGTTTATATCAAGGATGAAGAGACGGGTGAACTCTTTTCGGCGCCTTATGAGCCAGTAAGAGCCAAAGTGGACCAGTTTATCTTCTCTGTCGGCAAAAGTGACATCAGATGGACTGTCGAACATCTTGGTATTCGTATTGAGATGACCCTGGGGTTACCAACTCACGATGTGGCTGAGCTATGGACTGTCAAGGTGACCAACGTCTCTGGCCGCCCCCGTAAAATCAGTGTTTACCCCTATTTCACCATCGGCTACATGTCGTGGATGAACCAGTCTGCTGAATACCGTAAGGACCTGGGCGGGGTGGTAGGAAGCTGTGTCACACCGTACCAGAAAGCAGCGGACTATTTCAAGAATAAATATCTGAAAGACAAGACCTATTTCCTGTGTGAGACAGAGCCAAACTCGTGGGAGTGCATGCAAAGCGCATTTGAAGGGGAGGGTGGCCTGCATGCTCCGTCTGCTCTGTTGGAACCAGAGTTGAAAGGAAGTGATGCCAGGTATGAGACTCCGGTGGCTGCGGTGCAGTACCGCCTGGCACTGGAGGCTGATGACAACCGCGAATACCGGTTCCTCTTTGGTCCGGCTTATGACGACGCAGAGATCCAGGCCATGAGGGAAAAATATCTCAGTAAAGAAGGATTCGCAAAATCTGCAGATGATTATGCCTCATATATTCAGAAAGGGGCTGGCTGCTTGAAAATTGAGACACCGGACAAGGATCTGGACAATTTTGTCAACAACTGGTTGCCGCGGCAAGCATACTACCATGGCGATGTGAATCGTCTCACTACTGATCCCCAAACGCGAAACTACCTCCAGGACAACATGGGAATGAGCTTCATCAAGCCTGAAGTGGCCCGGAAAGCGTTCATCACCGCCCTCAGCCAACAAGAAGAGAGTGGTGCCATGCCAGACGGGATTCTTCTGGCTGAAGGCGCGGAACTGAAGTACATCAACCAAATCCCGCATACTGACCATTGCGTATGGCTCCCAGTGACCCTAGAAGTATATCTTGCCGAAACCGGAGACTATGCCCTCCTAGATGAGCAAGTGAAGAGCATGAATGGGGACACCTTCACAGTATTCGAGCGCTTCTGCCGTGCCATGGACTGGCTTCTTAATGCCCGCGATGAGCGAGGCCTCAGTTACATCGCCCAAGGCGACTGGTGCGATCCGCTGAACATGGTCGGCTACAAAGGAAAGGGTGTATCCGGTTGGCTCACTCTCGCCACCGGCTTCTCGCTCAACCTCTGGGCCTCAGTCTGCGAACAACAAGGGAAGAAAGGAGAAGCATCGCGTTACCGCGCCGGTGCAAAAGAAGTCAATGAAGCGGCTAACAAGCACTTCTGGGACGGGGAATGGTTCGCCAGAGGCATCACAGATGATAATGTTGTTTTTGGTACAAAGAAAGACAAGGAAGGTCGTATCTGGCTAAACCCGCAAACGTGGTCCATTCTCAGCGGTGCCGCAAGTAAAGACCAGATCCCCAAAATGCTGGCGCAGGTCGACGAACAACTCAGTACACCCTACGGTGTCGTCATGTTCGCGCCCCCGTTCAGCGGTATGCGCGAAGATGTTGGTCGCGTGACGCAGAAATATCCGGGCTCGGCAGAGAACGGTAGTGTGTATAACCACGCAGGTATCTTCTATATTTACAGTTTGTATACCATTGGCGAAGTCGACCGCGCGTTTAAGTTGTTGCGGCAGATGATTCCGGGACCCAGTGAGGAGGATTATTCGCAGAGAGGACAGTTGCCGGTGTATATCCCAAATTACTACCGCGGCGCCTGGAAACAATATCCCAGGACTGCAGGGCGGAGCAGTCAGTTGTTTAATACCGGCACTGTCTCATGGGTGTATCGTGTGTTCAGTGAATGCCTGTGTGGGCTTTATGGCGATGCGGATGGCCTTCGTATTCGACCCCAACTGCCTTCAAGTTGGACTGGGATCAAGGTCACGAGGTTGTTTCGCGGTGCGAAGTTTGTGCTTGATGTCAAGAGGGCGGGTGTTAGGGAGGTGACGGTGAAGCAGGGGGATAAGGTCTGGCCTGAGGCGAGAGTTACGGGGATTCAGGCTGGAGAAATTTATGAGTTGACTGTGCTAGTGCCGCAGTAAGGGATCCAGGCTATATGGAATCTTAGATAGAGTTAGAAGGCTTCTTCAACGTCTTTGTGGTACCACATACTAGATGTCGAAAGTTTTTGGGATGAATTCGGCCCAATTCGTTTTTCCTATGAGCCTCTAGTAGATCAAAATTATATTTTAGATGCTAGATTGGTCAAGCACTATTCCAAAACATGCGCTCATGGTATAAATTACTGCTAAAATATGTCCCTTTTATTTAAAATTGTGCAAAGACACGTTTAGCAAAATTTGAAGCTGTATATCCTCAGGTGTATTGAGTTCGATGATAACAATGCCCAGTTGAAAGTCACAATTCTAAACTCAAGCTTATTTTCTCTCTATTGCGGGATCCTAACTGACTAAGTATGAATTTTGTGATCAATTTTAGTTTTTAAATGTGCCTCCTGTCGCGTACCTACATCAAATTACATAAAATCAATTCTTTGTGCCATGGGTTATAAAACCTAGCATGTGAAACATTAGGCGTAGATTTAAGCTTTTAGAAGAAAGTATAATTCAAAGTTCAAGATTTAGGACATGCCTCAGGTTTGAATGGTCTATCCTAGATTTGCAATACCTGTTTAAGATGAAAAAAAGCAAAACTATGTTTTCAAAATTGGTTGCAGACCTAGGTTTTTGTGATTATACTTGACTTCAAAAGTTGCATCGTATGAGAAACATACTAAATCTATCTCTTAAATCTGACGACTGTGGAGTCAATAGCGGTAAGAGAGAAGCTCTTCTAAGATCAGGCTAGGGAGCAAGCAGAATCAAAGGTAGCGTCATTACCTTGCTACGCGTAAACATCTCAAGGGTTAAGTGTAGGAAGGTATTGTCTTGATAGAACGAACCTGACAGATATATTATAATAAATCGATTTAACATGCTACCTTGTTCCCAATCGGGTCTATGAACATGTAATATCAATGCTTAGAGCAAAGTAAACCCGACTTTAGAGGGAGATCCCTCTAGAGTCCAAAACCTTTGCCTTTTCCTTTACCCTAAACCATTCTAACATAGCTATGTGAGAACCTGACAGATATAAGTGACCAATAATGAGTGAATATCTTGTTTTTGGATTTGGACTTCGTTGAATCAGAATCTTAAACTAAAAGGTTAACGATTTAGAATTTTGAGGCACAAAATTTTTACTTAAAATCGGGAACAACATATACAAAGAAAGGTGGTGAAATTGCGTTGTAGATAAAGAGAAATAGAAAATATACGTAGAATAATTTATGCAAACCAGCATCTCTAATAGAGAAAAAAACTCCGAGAGTCGAAAAGACGCTCAAACCTACAAAAGCATAAGGAAGCTTGATCTATGGATGCAGATATCCAAATGGTTGTAAGACTTACTTTCAGAGTATATATTTTAAGCATAAATTCTTCTATTATTATCATTTACTAATAATTTTATATCATCAATCAAATCGTTCTGCAAAACAAAGGTCCCAACGTATTGGCACTAGCTTACAGATTAAACTTCGCTTTGCTAGTTTGCTCCACCAAATAACAAAAATATTGATTTTCAATTGGAATAAAAATTTGTTTTTCATCAGTTAATTAATCAGCCCGGCTAGCTCAATCGGTAGAGCGTGAGACTCTTAAGTTTCCCGTTCCCCTTCGAACGATTGCTCAGAATAATCTCAAGGTTGTGGGTTCGACCCCCACGTCGGGCTAATTTGAATTTTTTTTTCTACATTACTTTTTCAGGTTATGTTATAATTCTATTTTTTTGGTTAGAAGTGTGAATTTTGAGAATCACATGCGTGGCTGTGCGGGGTTAAGTGACCACACACCTCACCGAAAAAGAATTATCTATCATATTCAATTTTGAATAGACAAACCATATTAATCTAAAATGATTCAATTCAACGTGCTACCGGGGTCCCAATCGGGTCTATGAACACGTATATTAATATTTAGTGCGAAGTAAACTCGACTCTAGAGTTTGTCTGTAGGGCCCAAAACCTTCGCCTATTCTTCATCTTTTTACACTTCTAATCTAGCTGAGGCCAGATCGATAAATGTGTATCTTTTGCTTTTGATTTTAATATAATTAATTCCGTGCAAATGTTTGCGGTTTCAAATTACATTAATCAATAGATTCGTTTGATTATAAAGCCGTAATTATTTTATTTAGATAAAAAATATATAAATAAGATTTTCTTGCATCAAATTATCCGTTGTGGTCTAGTGGCTAGGATTTGTCGCTCTCACCGACAAGGCCGGGGTTCAATTCCCCGCAACGGAATATTGATGAATTTTTTTTACTTCTTCCAACTCCATATTGTGAGTACGATGCTAATTTTTACTCGTCATTGTCAACAGGACGGCAAACGCTCCATCATATCCCGGAATTCTGTCTTAACCACACCTAGTCCCGAGCGAATTTTTTTTAAAGGTAGGTGCTATAGAGCTCAGGAGTCCTTAAAGGAGAAGAGAATGGTAGAGGCTACTGTCCAGTGGGTATTAGAAACAAATATACTTGAACAGTTCCGAGTTGCAAGGCTATTGCGAGAAAGGATATAGGGGACTAGGCCCCCGTCCAACTAACCCAGGCCGTGTCATAACGACCCCTCTGTTGCCTAAGCGGTAACACTGGCAAATGTGGAACAGTTACTACTGATATAACCAGCTGGTGAATACATCACCTTAGCAAGATTTAAATGATATAAGCAAGAAAAGAGCAAAGGGTTTGGAAACTAAAGGTTCGCTCCTACGGAATTGGGTTTACTTGGCTGTAAGCATTGATATCACGTGTTCATAGACCTGATTGGAAACCAGGTAGCACCTTAAATGGGTTTATTATTATTACTTGCCGGTGTTGATGATTATTGTGCGCCTGGGGAAATCGGGTAATCTTTCTTTTTAGATATATACTTTTTAATGGATGTCTGGTACCACTATGCTGCTTTAAGACGAAGGGACAAGATGTGATCTGATGTATGGTTCGGCTAAGACCTGCTCATCTATATGCCAATATATTATGCTGTTTGGATCCATTCGAGTTAAAGCTCACCTTAAAGTTTTAGAATTTGATTTGTTTTTTCCGCCATGAAGCTGGTCACATTGTCCCTCATTGAATTCAAAAGAAATATTTTCTTGTCTATATACTTCAAACAGAAGGAGCATATTAATCCATAAAACCTTAATGGAACAACAAGCCTTTGGAGGTGAACGATGTTTAGAACTTTCTTCAGATAATATTAAATGAGGGGGATGGTAGAATTAGAGATTGAGACAATATCAAAACCTCTCCACATATTCGAAAGCTATCTTAACTACGAAGCTTGTGAGTATCGTCAAGTACAGCATTTACAACCCCTTAAAAAGTTCCTTGGATAATATTACTTTCATTATTCTGCATTGCATGTCTAAAAGATGCCTGGGATTGAAGTGTATGTGAGCACGTCATTGTGGGGGTTAGTCGTGGTCATAAGTGACATTCTATGTAGTAGTTTCGCTTATGAGCCTTGGAGGTGACAGAAATAAATTGCTGTATGTTATTATAATGAATTAGATTACCCTATATAAGATATTACTTTTCCGCTGGGATCGGGTTTGAATCCAGCTCTACGGGATCCCGATCATGATTATTGGCGAGTTCGGACCTGGAACATGTTAAAAATTGCCCTCCAATAGCCGCTTAATAAGGCCAGCGATAGATACGTACATGGGAGAAGAGCTGTCTAGATAATGGGCGTGTTTTGCCGGGGCATAATAGACGGCACGGTCCACCTCAGATCGGCTTGTATCTGCCACCTCGTGGACAGGTACATGCCGTTTCCGTATATGTCGGCGGCGGAAGAAGAACGCTGCAATTACGAGAATGATAGCGCAACCAATGCCTACGCCTACGCCGACACCGATTGCTGTTGTTTTTGAAGGGACTCCGGATGATTTTGGTGTGGTTGTTGGAGGATTTGGGGACGAAGAGGCATTTGGTGTGGGAGTTGTTAAAATTTCTGCAAAGGCCCTTGTGGAAGTGGAGGAAGATGATACTGCCGGTGAAGATGTCGAAGTATGCGTATTTGTGAATCTCTCTCCAATAATCGTCAATGTATATACGTCATTGCTCGGAAAAGTGAAGGTCTCGAATTCACCCGTATCGCATTTGCAGTTGTTGCCGCAGCAATAAGAATCCACATTGGTTTGGTTACAACTGTAAACATTGGTGCCATTGTTGGCAACGTCTATAGGCGCAGTGAGTGTTTATACTCTGAGTCCTTTATTAAGGGTGGACGGACTTTCACAATGACGAGGGCAGTTTTCTGACTGAAAGGTCGCATCCGTACAGGTCCCACGATGTGTTCTTGACAAGGTGGCGTCATGAGGATCAGAGCGACAAAGCCCGTTTGATAAGCAAGCTTGACCACCCCAGCAACAGTGACTGACAAGGGAATTGGGATTGCATGGGACGTCTGCGGTCGCTACACCACCATCTGGGAAATGACAGTCTGCGAGGGCAGAGGAGAAGAGGGTAAAGAAAAGCGCGACTCCATTCAAGGAGAGCATACTGAAGAAGTGGACGGAATCTGGGACTAATACCGAAACAAGAGACATCGAGAAAAAGAGAAGCTTTCAAGGGCATGAACCACTTATAACATTCAAAAGTTGCTCAGAGCAAAGCCCGACGTAAGCACTTGCATGTCTCTGTCGTCGGAATTTGTGTTGCGTTCCGTGTACTTGGGGGCCGGATTTTGTAGATCTCCCCAAATATAGACCTGAGGCTGAAGATACGTAATACATGTGGTGAAATATCAAGAAGGTTGATGAAGGATTATGAGAAAAATCCGATTCTGCATATTGTAAAATCATGGAGAAGGATAAATACAGAATATTCCAATCTGTCACTATAAGGCATGGCGATGTGCTGAGGGAGTGTTAGAGATGGGACGGAGTGACTATCATGTCAGTCGAAATGGATGCTAGGCCTTTATAGGTTGCGTCTTGGCGGGATCTCTTCCCGCTCCCGCGAAGCTCTTGCACTCACCATCGTCAACTCAACGCCAACCTCAAGCCAAAACTTTCACTCCTCACCCTCGACCGTCAACGCCATGTCGGAGAGGCGTTCGACTCGGGCACGAGCTGCTGAGGCTGCAGCAGCTGCAGCAAGTCCAGTAAAAGACCTCGCAAAAGACACTCCCTCTAAAGCTGCCAAACCAGCCAAAGGCGGCGGAAAAGGCACAGCGAAGAGCACACCAAAGGCATCATTGAAACGCAAGCAGCCTGGAGATACTATACCAAACTCACCCGCAGGCGCTCCGGCTACCGAAACAGCGCTCCAACCCATAACACATATACTTCCACTCAGGTTGATTGACAGCCAACCACTACCAACACTCCCAGAACCGCAGTCACCGAATTTGCCAGATGCAGAATGGCAAACAATTCAGCAGAGGTCCGCATCACCAAAAAGTTCTTACTTTTGTCTACTTGCTTACCTGACGTCTACAATAGTGGAGTTCTCAGCGCCGCACTGCAGAGGTCCCGCACAACGTGGACTTCAGGTACCAACTTCCGCCTATTCTGTAAAAAGTTTACTCCGCCAAGGTTACTCAAAGATCGTTCTGAGGAGGATAATATCGCTGTTGAGAGACAGAATGAGATCAAGAAGAACCTGGAGCAGGTTGGAGAGGCAACCTTGATTGTGGAACCACATACTTTCCCCATTATCCTCTACGGAACAAAACAACCCACCCGCGCGGCCCCGAAACAAAAACAAGTGTATGGCCAATGGCCTCAAAGCCAGTACCCGTCGTATCAATCTTATAATCATCCTCCAACTCCTCAATATCCCAAGCCTCCCGCAGCGCAGCAGCCCGCCCCACCCAAACCACCACCACCACCACCACCACCACCACCACCGAAGCCGATACAGGCCCAACCGCCAGTGCCTGCTGCGCCTTCGACACCTGCTCCCGATCCAGTGATTCATATGTTGGCACAGAGGGCAGGGACTGATCCTCAGTTGAAAGCTGTTATGAAGATTGTTGCGGCAGGACAAGCAACAAAAGAACAACTGGAATTCTTCCAAGGACATATCAGTGAGCTCTCCAAAATATTGGAAAGACAAAAACCGCAAGGAAAAGCGGCTGTTCCAGCCCCGCAACCTACACAACCACAGCCCCCAACTCCTGCCCCCACTCCTACACCTGCCCCTCTGCCTGCGCAGCCAGTGGCTCCGACACTTGCGCCAATGCAGCCAACATTGAACAATCCTAAGCCATACTCGCCTGTGATAAACCCCCAGAATCGCAGCCCAAATCCACAGGGTTCCGTACGACCTCATCCTCAGCAACCCCAATACTCCACATATAGCTCAAACCTGCAGCACTTGAGCCCATATGCACCGCTTAGTCAGCCTACTAAACCAGTTTTTAGACCTCTTGTTTTCGAGTTCAGAGAGCAGAACGGGGACAAGTTCCACTTTCCTTCGTATAGCTTCTTAGAACCACTGCCTGGAGGCAGAGCGGTGAAACTGTCGTTTCTCATTACGAAGATGAAGACTACAGTAAAAGAGGGCACTCCAGCGACGGCAGTTAAGCCTATCCTGCCCGTCCCCAAGGATATCATCCCGGCAGCTAGCACAATTCCGAATACAAATGGGATAGTGCAAGGAATGGCTACTACAAGCCATTCCGCTTCTGCTTCAACATCTAATGTGTTTCCAAAT